ACAGTTGGAGTAGAAGACCTTGACCTTCATAACACAGGCCCAATTTAAGAAGCAGTTTCTTCATAGTGGTTCTCAGAGCTACTGATCCTACTCAGTTCATATCTGAGATTTTGTCCTGTGTTCATTTACTCACTCAGCAGTCACTTAGAAATCACGTGTCTAGCTGGCCCTTATCTTAAAGGTGTTCATTCTTGAGGTAAAGAAAAGAGAAGGCAAGCAAACTTGGATATGTAGACATGTTTGGGTATTACAGAAGAAGTTTGTCCACAGAGGAGTAATTTTTCACTCTAACAGCTTGACAATTAGAAAAGCACCAAGTAATCACTCAAGGAATAGATGCATTCTAGAAAGCATACACTTTCTAAATAAGATTGGAGCAAGGGACTTCTGAAGATACAAACTCAGCATAAGAATAATAATGACTTTCCGTAAGGGGTTGTTGTATGTGACTATCACCCAGCAGAGCAGCCTCCATCTTTGGGTGTAAGGCTGTGCCCACTCACAAAAGCCCATCCAGCTGGCCTTGTTGACTCCTGACATCCTTTTATAGAAATATGGGTTTATAGAGTTACAGGACAGTCACTAGAGTATACAGACACTTCATGCCACCTACATATACAATTATGCCCTAATTGCAAGTGGCCTCAGTGAGAAGCTATAAGCTTTATAAGTCAGGGAATACTAGGGGAGAGAGACTCCATCTACATGGTTATGGAGAAACCATCATCCTTGCTGGGTGAAGACTACCTAGTGTGTCCCTTCTTGAGAGGGAAGACACCTGTACTCTTGTAAGTAATCCCTCACTTATGCTTTGTAAGTAAGCCCAATTTAATCATTGGCTCCCCAGTGAAGTTTGGTAAAATTGTTGTTGGAATCATAGGACAGGGGACAGAAACTGTTTCCATATTCTGTTCCATGACTGTTCTAACATGCAGACTCTGTATTTAGGTACCTCATTTTTCTGAGTTCCTGAAAAATAGCCATATATATATCACAGTATATTATATATACATTATAAATGTGCATTAATTATGTATAACATATATATAGAAACCTTCACAGTTCGAAGTATGGCTTGTGTAGTATTTAATATATATATATATGCATCCTGTTATGAAGCTTAATGGAAAAAGCTTTTCATCCCACTTAGTAACTCTAATATTACCAAAATTAGTGAAACTATCTGTGATTCCAGTACTTTATACCCACATTCTTTAAAGTGTATATGAATGAGACAAAACTGTATGTGACTTTCAAAACGCTGTCCTCTGATGTCACTCTGTATTTCTTAGTAATGCCACAAAGTATATGCTCAGTTCTTAAAACACACAGCATTTCTAGAAGCTCAATTTGTGTGTATTACTGTAACTTAAGAATTAAAGGAGGAAAATTTAGATTCTCTACGAACTGTGACTGAATCAGTTTCATTTAGCTGAGGTGAAAACTAGATTGCAGACAACTTACTTGTCAGGGATCACTCAGTTCAAAAATACTACAATAACTCGATAAACATGTTTGCCAAACAATTCCCACAAGAAAGATCCTAAATTAAGTGCTGTGGGAGAGGGGTATTTGCCTAGAGCAGAACAGTTGGAGTGTATTCTTTGGTTAAAAAGTAGTATACATAGATGCCATTTGTGTCTGTCTGCAGGTATTCTTCTGAACTGCAATATATACAGAAAATATATATGTATATATGTATACATTTCATACACACATATTCATATATATATGAAATAGGGTACTGGTGGAAAACTTTAGACAGAAAAGTTGCATACATAAAACAACATATCAGAATGTCAGAAGCTATGACATTGATCTGGAGAAAGGGATCCCAGGTTTAGTGAAACCAGTTGAAGGTGTATTCTACTTGTTCTGGCAAGGTCAAGTAGTAGCCTTTCCTATACATCAGCTAAAGTGTGTGCACCGAAAGACAAACACACTTAATGCCTCTTGTTTTCTACATTACCACCTGCCAGTGGCTGCAGGATCTTCAACACCTCATTTCTCCTCAGCTGCTTTCCATTAGAGACGTGGTCTATGCTTCAAGGAGCAACCGCACCAAGGACACCAGAGAGTCAAGGGCAGAGAGAAAAGACTCACTTTGAACCTAAGAGGTCGCAGCTGACCCACAGGTCATAGAAGATGCTGTGTGAACTGAAGCATATGTATTGCAAATCAGTCACCTCCCTCCTCCCAGCTGGCACAGACGAATCGATTATCATCAAAAGGACGATAGTGAGTGAATTTTGGAGTGAGGAATTGGTCTTTATCCTTACAAATAAACAGAAGTGACCCCGCAGACCCTTCACTTTCATGGTTATAATAGCATTCTGGATTATGAATGAGAATGTGTTCTCGGGAGTGGAGAAGACCAGATGTTAAAGGTCCTAACTGTGTCTGGGTTAGCTTTGAAAAACCCAGTCAACCATAATAAGCTATAAAAACACAAAGTGTGAGCTGTTAGACCTACAGTTAGGTCTCAGTTCTGATATTACTTTTATGATATGATCTCTCTGAAACTCCTTTCCCTCACTGAAAACAAGCATAATTAGAGTAACCTCATCATGTGCGCTCAAGTAAAATGATGGTTTGTGAATGTATTTGACACAAGGTGAGAAAAATAGGCAAGCGGGAAAAAAACGCTACCATAAAATTTTCCTCCTTTGATTCTTAACTACTGTCAACTGTAACTTAAGACCCCTGACCCTGGAGTTGGGGCCATCAAGACAAGTTACACCGCAAGGCCGACACTTGATCGTTTTTCATCATCAGTAAGATACGGATTAAAGCAAGCCTCACAGACACTGAAGTTTGTGAAGGATTTGAACTTCAGGTAAAAGAGAGAAAGGTGAGCAGAGAAAACCAAGGCAAATGAGGAGGAGGTCTCAGGGGCAGGGCCTGGCCTTCTTTTCACTTGATCCCTCTGCTCGTCTTTCAAGTTTTGCTTTTTGTTTAACTTTGCTGGGTTTTACTGAGTCAGTGTATTGCATCTCTGCATCCCTTGTGGTGTGTGTGTGTGTGTGTGTGTGTGTGTGTGTGTGTGCGTGTGCATGTGTGCATACCTACACACACTCATGAAGATACTCTATACACATCATCAGGAAGCCTTGCTCCCTAGAACACATTCACTCATCTATCTGAAGGCCATTAGATATTGGCTTGTCCAAGCTAGAAAAGAACAGACACTCCAGCAAACTACAGTTAAACAGCTTTGGACCATGTCATCAATTTCCCATTCTCAATTTCAGGACCTTGCATATGCTACTGGGTCTTTATGAATGACTGGTCAGCTCATGGTTAGTAAAAGGCTGCTCACCTAGCTTGGTGGAAGTGAAGTGTACGTTTCAGTAAAAAAAAAAAATCCATGGAATTGTGACATTGATAATAAATGAATATGCATTACAATAAAACGTCTCTTATGCACATTTTTCTAAGATTTCTGTAGAAAGTGTTCCAAAGCCAATAAACTTACCTTTGGAATCCTGTGCTGTCTCTAGGAGCTTAGTGGCTACGGAGGAACCAGCTCGGGAGTCAGAAATCTGATTTCATTCCTTTTATATTTGACACCAGCCTTTCTTCTCAGCTCGTCTCTGGGGATCTCCAAAGACACTGCATTGTCTTTGTTCTAGACATTGCCATTTGCTTCCTTAAAGTCACTTTTTTCTTTTGGAAGCCACTGCCAATAAATTGACCAAGACTGCACAAGAGACCTTCAGAACCTTCCCTTTGAGGCACCTGTCCCCTGTGTTCTCTCATGCCATGTGCCTGAGCATGCCTCAATCCAAGTCCCAGTTTGATAAAGGATGCCCAGATTCAATGCACCAACTAAACAAAACTCAGGGAAGATTTTAAACTGCGAAGCAGTTGAAATCCAGGAAGATGAATCAAATTAAAAAGAACCAGGTCCTCCCCTTCACCTTAGACTTACAGTCTTCACAAGCTCTGAAACACAGCTCCTGATAGTGCCCAAGCTTTAGCTCTGTTACCACTGCCACCAGGGAGGAAGGAATACTTCTTTCAAGCACTAGTTTGAATACTCTTGGGACATACAAAAGCTTAATTATCACTGGACTCATCAGTCCCACGGCCAACAGCAAAATACTTTGAGTGGCTTGTCTGAGGTGTGCTTATCATCACTGGACCTAGCTGGTGTGAGTGAGGAATCAGAATTACTGAAACACGTGGCTTAAAATACTTACATATCAGGATGTGTGGAGAAGGATTAACAATCCTAGGGATGTTTATTTTAGCTGGTTTGTTTAAATGGATTTGAAATACCAGCGGCTACACAGTGAAGCTAAATATATAGACGGATATATATCTTAAGACAGTGGTCCTGTCATATTTTCTAGGCACTCAAAATCCAATTAGTTCTGAAACATAACACAGAGTGGAAGACATACAGGCACACATGCACACATGTTTAGCAGCCTCCTTAATATGCATAACTTTCCTGTCACTTTTTTCTATTGCTAATATAGTATTTGTAGTGTGGGGAAATCTGGACAACGAATCTTCATTGTTAAATCCACTAAACTAAAATAGAAGGAAGATATTTTTTTACAAATTGAAACTGCAACTGTGTGTGTGTGTGTGTGTGTGTGTGTGTGTGTGTGTGTGTGTCTTTTGGGGGAGTGTATATTCATGCTATGACATACTTGTGGAGGTCCAAAGAAAACTTGTATGAGTTGTTTTTCATGGAGATTGATCCCAGGCATCCCACTGAGCCATTTTGCAGGGTCCAAGAAAAATATATCTAGGAATTCTACACATTTACAAAATGTAGACAGAAATATTATTTACATACATGAATAATTTAACAATATATATTTGTCTCCAATAAGAGCTTTGAATTTAACCATCAGATATTTTATTGTAGTTACAAAGTGCTATGAGAAATATTTTCATATATTTCAGATTATATCCATACTTTCAATGAGCCTTGGTGGCTATCTAAGTAGACTAATTTATCCTTCAAAACCATTTCTATCTCTGTGCTTCTGACGCCACCTATTTCTGATTCCTTCTTGGCTTGATGTCTTGAATTCTTTTTTTTTTTTTGTAAACAAACTTTCTGCAGCAAGTCTCACATTCAGAATGATGGTCCATTGGTCTTTTATCATTGAGATCCCCCAACTCAACACAGAACTCTGCTGTGGTTTAAATACACTCACACTGGCATTTGGGTTTTAGGGGCCCAAGTGTCCCGATTCTCTTAGCCCTACTGACTAAGTTCTTTCCCTTCTTCTGTTGCTCCCTTGGGGACTGATATTTCTCCATTTGTAGGCATGTGAGACTGTCACACTCTCTTCCAGTCTGAGAGTCACAGTTACCTTTGGAAGCACAGCTGTGTCTCCTCCCAGCCGTTAAACAAACTTTGCCATGGTGGGCTAGGGTAAAGGATGCCATCCTGCAGGCTGACACACAGCTGCACACACTTCCTTTTGATGGCCTACTGCATATCTTTTGGGTGAAGCGTTTGCTTCTGTGACTTCCCTTCAGAGCCACATTGCCCTGATCGTTGCATATGGACTGCGTTTTGAATCCGACACACCATGGTTTGGATCTGGGTGTCCTGGAACTGGATCGTGTTTGGATTCTTATACTGTGGTGTGAACCAACTTCTACACATTGGGAAGACAGGCTGCATGCCTTCTTTTTTCTAAAAGAAGCCAGCATTTTATCATTTCTAGTAGAAACGGGGACATTTCCGGAGACACAATTGCTAGAATGATCAGTTCCTCTGGATTTGCAGTTTATCAAAGCCCCTTCTCCAGGCAATATCTGAAAAGCCTTTGGTGGAGATTCTTCAAGCTTCTTTTTTTCTATTCCTTTGTTCTGATAATGTACCTGTTGCCCAGGACCAGGACTGAAAACATTTGTTTCCCTTAAATCGAACTTTCTTGGTGGTACCTGATTAGAATCCGCGGATGCTCTACGGATGTGGGAACGTGATCGGCTCTTCTGCAGACCCTGGACGCCGCTGCAGAGAGGGTTCGTGCCTTCTATCCTTTTCTTTTGACCAGCGTTTTCATAATGCTCTGTGTCTGGACTGCTTTCCTTGAGATTATCCCAATCCAGTAACAAGTTGGTAGTACACACCACGTCCTTAAAATCATCTAATCCCCCTTTGTCCTCGGCACAACCGTGGAATTTGTTTGCTGTTTTCTGATGGGTTGTTTGGGGGTTTTGGGAGGCATAATTACCAGGTGGGAATTGTTTCAAGCCGGAGTGAGGCCTCGGCCCAGTCTTCTTCCCCTGAGCCTGGGCGTTCTTGCACTCCTTGGTCCCTTGCTGGGGTGTCACGAGGGAGAGATCCCCAGGCAAAGCCAACACTGGAACCGAAACAGTGCTCTTGTTTTTCATCCACGTTGAAAGCGGACACTGATAGATGGCCCTGCGGTCGTAGGTCTCCATGTTGCAGGATGAGTGAACGAAACTGATGAACTCATGCAGAAAGTGGTGAGTGTGCTGGAGGAGATAAGGCTCCAGCAGGTGAGTGAAGGACTCGCTGTCCAAGTTAAATTTTGTCATGTGCTGGAGAATGGCAGCTAGAATGTTCTTTACCGTGTAGCCGTAGTCTCCGTACACGGCCATGAGTTCCCGTTTCAGCCAGGGAATCAGCCGGTGGAGGCTGCTGGGATTCCTCTTGAAGTAATCAGCTGAAAACTGCTTTTCCAATCCAGAGCCTTGGACGTGCTTTACCCAGATTCCAGAATAATACAGAGCTCTCCTGAACTTCACAACCACGTGGTCTCCCAAGGGGCCCAAGGACCTGGAGTACGGTGGCAGCTTCCCACCCTCCCCAAACTTCCTCAGCAGCTCTCGGATGGTCAGCTCTCTCCAGGGTTTGCCCCTCCGTTTGGTGTTCCTGGACTTCTCGCGGCGATTTTGTCTTTGAGAGAAGCCCGCAGAACTTTCCTCCTCCGAAGGAAGAAACCCGGATTCTTCCTTGTTGTCGCTCTGCAGCCTGCTGGAGCAACACTGAGAAAGAAAACGTTTCATGACCGGGGAGAGTGTGGATTTCTTCCTTGGTCTGGAGTGTGATGCATCGCGAGATGCCTCGTCTCCCCTCTTTCCGGAAGAGTAATTCCAGTCGGACTCACCCTGAGTGCCTTCCAAACAGTTAGGACACTCACAGTTGGAGGAAAGCTCCACTGCCATTGGTCCAGCAGATTCTATTTCATGACCCGAATATGAGAAGAAAAAAAAAATGCTTCAAGTCAGTTTCTCAACCGGGCATGGGAAATACGTGTTAAAAGTACTCTTTGTGTGTGTATTTTTATACCATCCTCTCTCTGTGGAATCAATGCAGGAACACAGTGAGGAGGCACATTATTTCTCAGATTATTGGTAACATGCACAGGAAATGCAGTGTGTACTTAAGGCAATGAAGACACGGACGCATTAAGGTTTTTTTTTCTTTTTCCGAGTAGTTTTCCAAGCTCTGAAAAGCAAATTCAAGTAAAATAAAATCAGCATTAGCCCTGAAAACATGTGCTTACAAGTGACACTATACAAACTAATTATACAATTAGAGGAAAAGAGGTCATGAATTTGGAAGAGATCAAGGGGAAGCCGTACATGGAAAGAAAGAAAAGTGAAAACGATGTGATTATATTATAATCCCAAAAAGTAAAACACTTTAAAAATGTAAGTATCATGCTCGTTGACCTGGCGATTCTGTATGGTTTTAATCTCTATATGCAAGAAACTAACACATATTGACAGTTTCAATGGCAGTGAACAAACTGAAAATTACTTAAACATACATCAGTAAGGGATGTGTTGAATGAATGATGCTTTATTTATTGTGAGGAGACTTACATCTACCAAGGCGAGAAGGTGGCTGAATATGTTGTTAAATACAGACTTTGTAAACTCCAGGACAGTCAGGCTTTAGTGGTTCACTCTTGATATTGGTCCTAAGGAGGTTGAGACAGAAGAATCTTGAGTTCTATGGAAGCCAGCTTGGGTTCTTATAGATTATTATTTGATCCTAGTGGTATTATTAACTAGATGTAATAAGAAGAATTAATTTTTCACTGGGATTAACAAATTACAGCTTTACTAGATAGATAGATAGATAGATAATATAAAAATTCTCAGAAAAGTGATTAAAAGCATATTGGGATCCAGAGAAGGATGTGAACACTGGTCATTGCCCACATCTGCTGTTTCTGAGCTTCCATTCTGATAGTCAGAAATGACAGCTACAAATGACAGGGGTCAAAGGATAGATGGTGCTTGAGGTTGAGCATCCAATGCAAAACACCTTCCTGAGTCTGTGTATCCAAATGTTTGTGTTAAAAGAAATTAGTTTTAAAAATATCACCCCAAAAGGAGTCAGCAAGAAAACTTATAACTAGAAATAAGTCAACATATTTGCAGATTAAATTCAAGCAATGCATGTCTGAAAGGTCACAGTAGGACTGTTTATTTTTAATTTTACAGGGACTCTAATTGGCAAAGGCAAATACATTCTCTCAGGAGCACACACAGAAACTCAAGTTTCATGACAAATTCCCATAAAATAAATTCACAATGAAAATCAGTAACAAGCTTGGTGGTACAATACTGCAACTCTTGTTACATGAGGGCTGAGGCAGGGGGATCATAAGTTCAAGGAGTTCAATGCTATCCAGGGCAATTTAGCTAAGATCATGTCCCAAAGTTAGAAACACAAAAAGGACTGGGAATATAGCTCATTAGTAGAACATATATTAGCATGTGTGAGGCCATAGCTTCAACACCTAGTACCACCCCAAACAGACAACAGCAGCAACAAGCAAGAAATGCGCTGTTTTAAGAATAGACCTTCAGGAAAAATATAGACAACAAACTTGGCTGCTAAGAAAATCAGGAAATGTATAAACAAGGTGGAGCTAAAAAGATCAAAATGTTTTGAGAATGGTGTTTGTGTGTGTGTGTGTGTGTGTGTGTGTGTGTGTGTGTGTGTCCAGATAGATTTGAAACATAATCAAATAAGATGAAGAGAAATAAAAATTATGCTATTAAAATGGATCATTAATGGTTAATAAAATGGGTATTAAGTAGATCAAACAAACAGTATGAGAACAGTTGGAGTTCTTGCCATGGTACACTAGAGATCTGAATATTCTTTTACACTGTATGAAGATATGCCACTGCGACTGGATTAATAAAATAGCTAACTGCCCAATACCTAGGAAGGATTTTCACTGGGAAGAAGGGGAGAGTCAATAAGAGTCACCAGCAGATGGGAAGAAGCAGGCGTGCAGGAAGAGAGGTAAAGCCATGAGTCATATAGTAACATGTAGAAAAATAGAAACGGGCTCATTTAAGTTATAAGACCTAGTTAGTAACAAGCCTAAGCTATGGGCCAAGTTTTTGTAATTATTAATAAATCCTCCATGTCATTTTTTGTGAGCTGGCAGACCAAAAATAGAAGTCTGTCTGTGTCACTACACAGACTGTGTTAGAGAGGATGAAGAGACAAACTGAAAGGTGGAGATAATGAAAACAAAACGAGAAGGTGTAAGATTCTTACAAACAATGGGATGAAGGAAAGGCAGTCATGAAAGAGATAGGGCTAACATCTTTCAAGTATGTGGAGAATTTGTAAATCATCAGACTCAGAATTATAATTACGTCCAACTGTAACCAATAAAAAGAAATCCATATCAACCAATATGAAGCTGCAGTCCCTGAAACGTAAAGTACCTTTACGATGGTTACCCAAGCCACTAGACTAGCACATTTCCTATCAGTAGTTGATCAATGTAATCGTTACCTTGTGCTGTAGGGTCTGGAAGACCCATATAGGATCAGATGTGTGTTATATACATGGAATGATTCCTGTCCCTGATTAAGTCTTGTAACTGAATACATAATGAAGTCAATTATGTATCATGAATATATATTCAAAGAGACATTTAAAGTAAATACCATTCTGGAAATCACATATTCACTGGGAGTAGCCTCCAAGGATCAATCAAAATTTTATAGAATTTAAGAG